AAAAAGTGGCAACAGACATAAAAAAAAAAAAAACACATCATAGTAAAATTAATACCTTCTCCGCTTCGCATCGAAGCTAAAACACATGTTTTATCGAATTTGTATTTAAAACGAAAAGTTTCATTTAAATCAAATAAGCGATCGCCTTTAGTAATAACTGGTTCTTATCTTAATTTGCGCTAACGGTGTTAGCCGTACATCAATAATCGTGACTATTACTTGAATATCAGCAAACTGGACAGTTATTATTAAATATTTAATATTTCCGAGAGGATATATAGCGCTATCTTTACGTTTATAAATTAACAAAAAATCGGTTGCCAATTGTCTGAATGCCGTGGCCTATCTATGTGTATTTAATCTATGGTATTACTGTACTGTCACAATATCTGGTACTATCAATAAAGTCGGTATCAAATTTCAAATATTTTCTCTTTAAAAAGTCTTCATTCTTGATGATATTTTTATTTAAATTATTAATGAATAAAAATAACCCGTTGACTTATCTTTCACTTAACAATATTTTAAACTTTAAAATATGCTGCCTGGAATTGGTGTCTTTGGAACAGGTATTTTTAATTTAATAGTGAATTATTCTTTATGTATAAAATGATCAAGTGTAGATGGATGAAATGGCGACTAATATTATATGTGATAGAAGAATTCAAATGAGTCTGAATGGTAAGACTGTATTGATCCCAGCTATGATGTATGGTTCAGAGTGTAGGGTAGTTGATGGATGGATGAGTGGATTGACTAGAGAAGATAGAATAAGGTGCGAACCTATAAAAGGGTGTATCGGTGTATCATCAATTGTGTAAGGAAATAGACTTAGATAGTTTGGTATAGTATGAGGAGTAAGGAATCAGAAACTGTAAGAACAATTATGGAAATGAATGCTAAAGAGAAAAGAGATAAAAAAAAAGATGGAGGTATGTTATTGAATGCGATATGAGGACTGATAATGTGGAGATTGTGTTAAGTAGAAGTTTAGGATAAGAGTGATCAACCAAATTCAATATCACATTATATTTTTTATATATAAAAAAATATTATATTGTGATCTTTTATTACAAATAACTAAACCTTTTCTATAAACTCATATGGCTTTTATTAATATAAACAACGAGTCTTCGCTTAAATAAATTAAGTTTATTATTAAAAATTAATGATCATTAACTAGTATAAGATAATTTATGTTAATGAAATGGTTTAATTAATTTAGTTTCAATTCATTATGCCCAATTCATGACAATAATTAAACACTTAAAGTATTAAAAAATGAATGTTTTTAATTAATTTACGTATTATTAAACAGGTAAAGTAATTGAAATAATTGTTCCATTTTTACGAGAAAAAGGGTTTAAAGTAGAGGCATTATGGGGTAGAACTATAAATGAAGCTGAAGAAGCTGCTAGAAGACTTCAAATACCATATTGTACGAATAAAATTGATAATGTATTGTTACGCAAAGATGTAGATCTTATTTTTATTGTATGTTCACCAAATTTACATGCTCAAATTGCTGTAAAAGCTTTAGGTATAGGGAAACATGTATTGTGTGATAAACCAGCAGGGTTATGTCAAAATGAAGCCATTAAAATGGTTCATGCAGCCCAATATTATCCATCATTAATTTCTATTGTAAACCACAGTTTAAGATTTTTACCAGCCTTTGTACAAATGAGGAGACATATCTTTGAAAATAAAATTGGGAATGTATTTTTATGTGATGTAAAAGTACAAATGGGTCGATTATATAATGAAGCCTATAATTGGTTATGTGATAAAACAATGGGTGGTGGAGTCTTGACTTTAGTTGGTAGTCATGTAATAGATTTAGTAACCTATTTGACTAACCAAAAAGCTATTAGAGTACATGGTATAGTTAAAACATTTAATAAAGACTTTAAATGCATGACTGGTGTCAGGCAAGTAACTAGTCCAGATTTTTGTACTTTTCAAATGGAGATGTCCAATAGATCATTGGTAACAGTTACATTAAATAACCATTTGCCTGGAACTTACATTCAGGAAGTACTTATGTGTGGCAGTGAAGGAAATTTGATTGTTAAAGGTGGAGATTTATACAAAGATAAAGATGAAGTATTATACTTAGATGTAGAAGACATGCAAAAATCAGATGCCATTAATGCAGTATCTGCAGATATAATGCCAAGACCATGCATGAAAGGTTTATTAAAAATGATAAGTGCTTTAAAAGAAGCATTTCTTCCAGTTGAAGATAAGAGAGGATGGATTAAATATCCAGTTTCAGCAGCAGCCACTTTTGAGGATAGTTTGTATGTACAAGCTGTTATAGATGCTATTCGTACATCCAGTGTCAACAAAGAATGGGTTAAAGTAGAAATAATAACTGAAGAACCTGATCCTAATCCTTTACTTAGTGCTGCTGTCAGAAAAAGTGGTATGTCTATTTAAATACATTTTATAAATACTTAAATAAACTTAATAAATCCTTAAAATAACACTGTATATACATGTACAAATAGTTTATTTTTAAAAATGTATAAATAATTTTAGACAATAAGTAAAATGGATTATTTGTAATAAAAAAGATTTTTCTTTTTAATATTGTAATCAAATCAGTATTATTATGTCTACTTAACTGTTGGATTTGAATTGATTTCAGCAACATATCTAAAAAAAAAGTTGATAAAGTTATGCACATTTATATAAATTATTTTATTTTTTTAAATATTATTTTAATAGTAACAAAATTATAATGTATCAAATTTAGATCAAAGTTAATATATTATTATTTAATATAAAACTTTTAATAAGTAGTATTTGTTCAATTTCTTTTAATAAAAATGGTTTTATTAACATAATCTATGAAAATATATATATATAGTGCCTTTAAAAATTCCTATTATAAATATCTAAACAAATGAGTAAAGTGACGGATTCAAGGTCATAAGGGGGTATGTGCCCATTGTAAGTTTTTACTTAACTAATTTTATAATGACTATCATTCAAAAAGTTATTATAAAAACATATTTGCTTAACCTTTTTAGACCTTTATTACACTCTTGTGTACTCATAATTTTTTTTTTAATTTACCAGTCTACTTACAAACTGCTAAACCCTGACTGACATTTAATCTCTATTTCTTCAACTCTTAACTATAAATATATTTTCAGCTAGAAATTCACCATTTTTGTTGTCTAACAAGTTTTACTTAATAACTCACCTGACCAATTTGGCTCTGAAGATCATAAATGGTGTAACCAAAAAAACTTATGTATAATTCTTTTTCAAAATTTAAAGTTAAAAAACAGATTTATGAAAAATATTTTATTTTTACCTATCAATAAAAATGTATTTTGAGTCATTTTAATGAAAAATCTGATTTAAAATGGTTAACATATGTTATGTGATGTAAAAAGCAAAAGTTAAGCTCTACGTAACTACAAGTATCATATCAAAGTGCTATAAATTAAGAATAACAATCTATATTAAATGCATAATGATAAACATTGAATCTGATAAATTTACTATTAGAACTTAACAGTATAGTTTAAAAATGATCATATATATATTATTTATTATGTTTAAAATTTAAATTAAGACTAAGAAATACACAAAAAATTTGGTATCCTAAACTTTAGCAATGGTTAACTAGAGTCTCCTTTTTGTAACGTGGGCGGGTACAGCTCGTATTGATATGTATTTATAATGTATAATCCACTCAATTTTTATTTATTATTTATTTGAAAAATAATATAAAAAAGTGGTGAAAGCACAAAAAAAATCACAGATTTGTATCAAAGCTAATTTATGTTTTTAACATTGTCCAAAACTGTACAAAGTATTTTTTTTTATAAGTAACAGAATATTCACTGAATCTAAAGTTATTTAAGATGTTGGAACATGGTGAGACACTCGGTATGTTAATTAAAATTTATACTTACACTAACATTTCATTTATCTGTTTATCAATTTCTTCTTCAAGTAATTTTAAATCTTTTTCACATGTCACTAAATCATTATATTTTTTATCTAAAGCTGAAATTGTTTCTTCTAATTCATCTACATTATCCACAAGTTTTTGGGCAGTTTCTTGTGTGTCATTTTTTATAATTTCACCACCAACTGATTCTAACAAAACTTTCGCTTCATCTAAAAAATAAAAATTATTGCTTATAAAAGAAAAAATGGCATAATTAACTATTAAACAAAAAACATGTTATTTAATACCTTATCTATTTAATAATATTATGATTAGTATGAAGATTTAAAAAAAGGTAATAGACAATACAATAATCGAAGAAACAAAAATATAGTTTGGTTTTTACCTGGAAAGTCAACGATAGAGCCAGTTTTTGTGTAAGACAACTTATTGAAAAGTATAAGGAAAATAAGAATAAGCTATATATTTCTATAATGATTGATGAAATTACTATAGAAATAAAAGGAGATGTACTGTGGTACATGTTATTCTCTGACAATACAATGTTAATATATAGGATATAGAAGAAGATAGAAACATAATTAATCAAAGACTTAAGGTGTGGAGATGAGCTCTTCAACGAAAGTGATTAAGAATAAATAGGAATAAGACTACGTATATAAAGTACGAATTTGACAAAGAAGAATATGAAGTATGTGAAATGAGGTGATCAGTAATAATAAGCGAGAATGTGATAGATGTGGAAAATATTAAGTATCAATTGTGCAAAAAAAAATTATGGTACTGACGAGGATGTAAGACAAAGGATTAAGCGTGGATGGGTGAAATGGAAAGAAACATCTGATGTTTTATGTAACCGACCCTAAGTAGTTGAAATAAAAGGGAGGACAAAGAAATAATTATACAGGTAGTTAAGAAATTTAAATATTTTACCATTAAGTAAAGGAGTATCTCCTTCTTCTACATTTCTTAAATCTTCTTCAATTTCGTCTTCTCCTGGCATTGATGGACATAGTGGAATAGAAGGTTTTCTATTACTCATCTTAAGTATAAAAAAAAACTTAAATTAACTGAAAAGTACGCATTTGTGAACGATGGCGAAAAATATTCAATAAATTGTCTATAAATCACAGTTTATAACAGTGTGATAGAATAATTGATAATCTAGAACGCTTATCAATAATAGATAACCAAGAGATGACTTTGCCTAAGGCTCTATATATAATGACTTAGTTTTGCATGAACATAATATCACACTGTGAGTACAAGACATTAGAGATGGAAAGTTTAGTTCATTTCTGTGAATAGTTCATTAGTTCATAGTTCATTCAAGTGAATAGTTCAAATGAACTATTCTTAAGTTCACTAATTTTATTGATCATGCTTATTGTTTGGCAATGAACTATTCATTTTATCACTAATAATATAGCAGTACACAGTTCAGTTGTAGTTCACACTACTTATGGGCAATTAAGTTACAAACTAACCCTTAACCTGAACATCATAAACTAAGAAAAAATTATTATTAATACCCTCATGGCTCATGTTATCATTATCACCTAATTCAAGGTAGATATACTGACCAGTAGTCTTAAGTTAAATCAGAAATCTGTTCTAATATTTGTACATAGTATGAATTTATTTTATTGTTAAACAGTTAAAAACCGTGTAACATTTTAACAATATAATTTATTTGTTATCTAATTGTAAACAGCTATTAACCATTTACAGTATTTCGAACAACGAACCACAAAGAATTTTTAAAGAAGTTCGCGAACTATTTCATTTATACATTGCTACCAATTTTTTTCGAACTGTGAACTGTTAAGTTACAGGTACTGAAACAGTTCAGAATAGTTCATTTAAGTGAATAGTTCAAATGAACTATTCGTTCACGAACTTAACATCTCTACAAGACATAGAAAATTATTCTATGGTGTAAGAGAGAGAATTTATCTTAATATTCTATTATGCTATAGATTGTTTGTGGTTTATAATCATGAAAAAAATTTGCACTTGTATCCTATGTCACGTAACGATATATTAAATAATCCAACGTTGATTCCATACAGTGTTTTACACTACACATTTTATAATCAGTATAACTATTTAGAAAAATGATTTAATTTTAAATAATACGATCTCGTTACACAAAATCTATGATTAATTGTTATATGTAAAAAGAGAATTCTAGATTTTATTGATATTGGTTCTTATATAATTTTTATGCGCTCTTCATTTAAAAATAAAACTGATTTATATGAACACTCTTATCATCAAATAGTATTGGAATTTATTTATGTAATTCAGAATCAAAAATAAAGATTACCAAAAAGAAGTTAATTGTAAATTAATAAAAGTCCTTTATGGTAAAAAATTTGTAATAATTTCATTAATTAACTTTAATGTAAAAAAATAAATAGTTTAATGTCTATAAGAATAAAAAAGTAATTTTAGATGTGTATATATTTATGTGTTTGTAAAAGAATGTTAATAAATTGTTACATCACATTATAAAATAATTTTATAAGGATTTTATGATAAGTTAATATGTATAATATACATATTAACATAAATATATACATTGTATATATTTAGTTATGAATTGTTCCAATTATTTGTCTTCCCAACAAAATAAATAACTATATTCCATTTCAAAAGTTCAATTTTATGATGATACATTTTGGAAAATAATACTATCTAATTAGATCACTTTTGTTGATGATCTCTCTTGTGTAATTAGAAACATATAATCAAGCAAAAAAAACGGTAGCACAATGTGTCGCGGCACAGTGTGTATGTGGCATAGTTGGGTCCAGTATAGATGATATTTGATAGTGATTAAAATCACTATCGTAAGAAACGCTTCGATACAAATCTGTAAATACTGTTTAATTCTAAGAAATTAGTACATAATTACAAAAGCAACATCAACTCCTATTTCCTTAATTATATCCTGATTAGTAGATCTTTGATTTATAAGTATAATAACTGAATAAATATCTATTATAGCAATACAACGTAATTCTCATTAAAAAATGTTATTATAATATAATATAACTTAAGTTGAAAAAGTTGAGTTTTGTAAAAGAGTTGCTATTTTGAATCCATTCTTGTGAGCAAAAATGATCAGATTCTCAAAAACATTATAGTAGGGTAATATTGGGGGATTCTGGTCCCCATCCTCACCCCATCACCCACCCACCTATATTGTGGGTGGGCGTGATCTGAGGGGAGGGGCGTGGTTTCTCGATGGCGGGGGTAAGGAAAACCCCCGTTTAGCTGTGCTACAGTGTCGGCGTGATCGGGCTCTACGGGGCTACGAAACGTCGGCAGGGGCGCAGTTTCCCTAGCTCGGGGAATCCGGCGCGTCCTCAGGTTGCGGATAGAGAAACGGCCTGCAGATATGCAGGTTAGCCGCAAAATAAGCAGTCCATTAACTTGGACTGACGAATAAGCGGTCGCGGACAATGAGCCGCCCAAACGCTCGTTAACCCTGTAGATATACGAGGGTATCGTACAGGGTAGNTTTTATGCGCTCTTCATTTAAAAATAAAACTGATTTATATGAACACTCTTATCATCAAATAGTATTGGAATTTATTTATGTAATTCAGAATCAAAAATAAAGATTACCAAAAAGAAGTTAATTGTAAATTAATAAAAGTCCTTTATGGTAAAAAATTTGTAATAATTTCATTAATTAACTTTAATGTAAAAAAATAAATAGTTTAATGTCTATAAGAATAAAAAAGTAATTTTAGATGTGTATATATTTATGTGTTTGTAAAAGAATGTTAATAAATTGTTACATCACATTATAAAATAATTTTATAAGGATTTTATGATAAGTTAATATGTATAATATACATATTAACATAAATATATACATTGTATATATTTAGTTATGAATTGTTCCAATGATTTGTCTTCCCAACAAAATAAATAACTATATTCCATTTCAAAAGTTCAATTTTATGATGATACATTTTGGAAAATAATACTATCTAATTAGATCACTTTTGTTGATGATCTCTCTTGTGTAATTAGAAACATATAATCAAGCAAAAAAAACGGTAGCACAATGTGTCGCGGCACAGTGTGTATGTGGCATAGTTGGGTCCAGTATAGATGATATTTGATAGTGATTAAAATCACTATCGTAAGAAACGCTTCGATACAAATCTGTAAATACTGTTTAATTCTAAGAAATTAGTACATAATTACAAAAGCAACATCAACTCCTATTTCCTTAATTATATCCTGATTAGTAGATCTTTGATTTATAAGTATAATAACTGAATAAATATCTATTATAGCAATACAACGTAATTCTCATTAAAAAATGTTATTATAATATAATATAACTTAAGTTGAAAAAGTTGAGTTTTGTAAAAGAGTTGCTATTTTGAATCCATTCTTGTGAGCAAAAATGATCAGATTCTCAAAAACATTATAGTAGGGTAATATTGGGGGATTCTGGTCCCCATCCTCACCCCATCACCCACCCACCTATATTGTGGGTGGGCGTGATCTGAGGGGAGGGGCGTGGTTTCTCGATGGCGGGGGTAAGGAAAACCCCTGTTTAGCTGTGCTACAGTGTCGGCGTGATCGGGCTCTACGGGGCTACGAAACGTCGGCAGGGGCGCAGTTTCCCTAGCTCGGGGAATCCGGCGCGTCCTCAGGTTGCGGATAGAGAAACGGCCTGCAGATATGCAGGTTAGCCGCAAAATAAGCAGTCCATTAACTTGGACTGACGAATAAGCGGTCGCGGACAATGAGCCGCCCAAACGCTCGTTAACCCTGTAGATATACGAGGGTATCGTACAGGGTAGCCGTGAAATAAGTCATTATGGACGAATAAGCGGTAGCGTTTGGGTGAGAACGGAGATATATGGCAACGCAACCAGTGTAGTTAGCCACTCACTGGCCGGAGGGACTGACTATGAGGGCAGCCCCCTCAAAAATTATTTTATACATATGAATAATGGCACAGATGGAGGTAAAGGTTACTGCAACAGGGGATTCGGATGCCCCTATCCCGGTGACGGATAAGCCTGGTAGGGCCCCGGAGATGAAGAGGCGGAAGTGTGCGGACATCACGCCTTCCGACCTCTTCCATGAGGACGGGACCCCCAGGAAGAAGTTGGACCAAGCCAGATCCAAGGCCGTTCTTACGGCCGGACTGGCCCTGGTAGTCCACCAGGCCGACTTATTGGAGACTGTGATGAAGGTCGTTCCCCTGCATGCCAATCTGGCTGCGGCTGCCAGGGCACTTATCAGAAGTGTTCGGGCCATGCACGACCTGGAGCTAACCCGCACCCCGGATGAGGACCTCCTGACCGTTGATTTTTTGACGCAGACGGATCCTCAGAAGGTTGTGGGCAGCGAAGGGTCGGGCATGAACGAACGTGGTGCGGCGGGTGTCACTGATGGCCCGGACAACAAACAGGATGCGTCGTCCCAGACGGCATGTTGGTGGGACACATATGTGCCACCACTCAGTGCCGTCGGAAGCACGGCCTCCCCACTCAATGAGGGGTCTGTGGTTGTTTGCCCGCCCGCACCCCCCGCAACGAAACGGAGGAAGAAAAGGAGTAGGAAGAAGAGGGAGGAAGTGGACGCCGGACGCTCGCTGGCGGACACCGTGGTGCCCTCGCTACCCAGCGTCACGGTCCTTCCCCCACCCCCAGCTCCTCCTATTGCCACTCCGGCCCCCGCACCGACCACCACATGGACGGAGGTGGTGAAGCGGAAAGGGGCCAAAAAGGTGTAGCGGTCTACGGCAGCTCCCAAAGCGGAGGTCCCTAGCGGGCCCAGGCCGAGTCCACCGCCACCGTCGCCCAGCTCCGGGCCAAAGTCCCGAAGACGGAGGCGGTGGTGATCGGACCGCTTAAAGAGGGTCAACAGTACGCCGCGGTCATAAAGACTGCGATGGCTGCCGTTGACCTCAAGGCCCTCGGGGTCCAACTGGCGGGCACCAGGCGGACCCGTACGGGGGCCGTACTCCTGGAGGTACGGGGTTCGGGCGCCTAGGCTGACAGCCTGTAGGGCGCCCTGAAGGAGCATGACGTGCGCGTCCGCCGTCCGGAGGACAAGTCGCCGCCGGAAATCGGACCCGTCGTGGTAGGACCCCTGTATGCTGAGGATCCTTGGCGACA